CTTTTCTTTTTTTTTTACATTTATTATCACCAACATTATCAATATTACCATTTTGTTGTTCTTATTGTTATAATGAAGTTGGTGATAGTGTTTATGTTCTTATCATGAACATCATTACCATTACTGTTATAACTATAATTACCATTGTGACTACCATGATCATTACTCTCAAGCTACTGCCTTTACCATTAACCATCGGTATTCTGTGATCACCATTATTATAAGCATTACCAAAATTGGGTCTTCAGTCATAGTCGAACTGCACGAGTGAGTTGGAGATATACGTGAATATATATAGATAGAGAGAGAGAGAGATAGATAGGTAGATAGAGAGATAGATGAATAGATAGATAGATAGACAGATAGATAGGTAGATAGATAGATAGATAGGTAGATAGATAGATAGATAGATAGATAGATAGTAGATAGGTAGAGATAATTAGATGAATAGATAGACTGATTGATTGAGATATTGGAGGGTCGGCTGACAGACAGATAGATGGTGAGACATATCCATGTACTTACACAAACACGTATGCCCACTTCCCAGCCCATGCAAGGTCAAATGCCCGAAGGAAAGAAGACGGGTAGCCTATGCCCCCCCCCTTTCCCCTCCCCCTCTTCCCCCCTCCTAGCCACCCACACTTACGGACACGCACGCCCAACGCCTGACTCCCACCCCCTACCCCCCCCCCTACCCGTTTCGAGGCATGAGGCAATTATAAACTAGTCTTTGTAGGTTTGAACCCCTCCCCCCCCCACCTTTTTTCTTATTTCTTCCTTGTCTCCTGTTTCATCATTTTACCTTCTATCTCCTTGCCTTCCACCTACCCTCACTCTCCCATCATTTTCTTTGTTTCTCTTTCTCTTCTTCCCCTTCCTTCCTTTATGCTTTGTTTCTGCTCTCGTGTCTTCTTTTCTTCACCCCCTTCTCTTCTCTCTTTGCCTCTCACTCCTGTTTCTCTCCCCTCTCCCCCTCTTACCCTCCGTCTCCCTCCCTCCTCCCCTCCCATTCCCTCTCTTCGCTTCCCTATTCTTCTCCCCTCCCCCTTTTCTCCCTCCTCTCTCCCCTTCCCTTCTCCTATCATCCCCTCCCCTCCCCTCCCCCCCTCCTCTGTCCTGTCTCCCCTCCCCTCCCCGCCTCCCTCCATCCCCTCCCCTCTGTCCTCTCTCCCCTTCCCTCCCCTCTGTCCTTTCTCCCCTCCCCCTCCCTTCCCCCCCTCCCCCAGTAAAACCTTGGATAGGAACCGTTTTGTAATTTTCGTACCGGGAAGATGGATAAGGGGTGGTGGGGGGGGGGAGGGGAGGAGGGGAGGTGCGTGAGTGTGATGCGGAGATAAGAACGGAGGGGAGGGGGGAGAGTAGAGTGTGGGAAGAGAGAGGAGAGAGTTTGTTTATAAGACCACTCCCCCCCCCCTCTTTTCTCTTCTCGTTCCCTCCCTCCCACTTTCCTCGCTTCCTTCGTCCTTCCCTATCTTCTTCATCTCCTCCAGCATTCCTTCTTCTTACCTCGTCCTTCCCTCTCTCACTTCCTCCATTCCCTCCTTTTTCTTTTTTCCCTCTTGCAATTCTTCCATCCTTCTCTCCTGTTCTTTCCTCCGTCTTTTTTCACTATCTCCTTCCTTTCCTCCTTTCTCCTTATTCTTCTTCTCCCTTCCCTCAGTCTCCTTCGTCCTTCCTTCCCTCCTCACTCCTTCCCTACCTCTCCCTCCCTCTTTTCTTCCTCATTCTCATCCCTCATTTCCCTCCTCTCTCCCTCTTCCACCTTCCCTCCTTCTCCCTCTCTCCCTCCCCTCTCTCTCCCTTTCCCCCTTCCTCCTCCTCCTCCCTCCACATTCCACCTTTTTACCTTCCATCCTTCCCTTCTTCCTCCTTCCATCTCTCTCTCTCTTCCCCCTTCTCCCTTTTCCTCCTTCCATCCCTCTCTCTCTCTCCCCTCCTTCTCCTCCCTCCCTTCCCTCCCTCTCCCTCCTTCCCACCTCCCCTCTCCCTCTTCGTCGTCTTCCTCCCAAGACCCCTTTTTAAGACATGATTTAAGACAAGAAAGACAAGTCAAGGTTCCAGTTCCTTTCAGCCTTGAAGCGGAAAAGAAAATGATGGCTGAGGCTACACAAGCAAGCAAGAAATAAAAATGAAAATTAAAAAAGAAAAAAAAAAAAAAAAAAAAAGAAGAAAAAAGAAAAAGAAAAAAGAAAAATGAAAAGAAAATGGTAAAAAATAAATAAAGAAAAAATAACAAAAAAATGAAAAATGGTAAAGAAAAGTAAATAACAAAGAAAATTGAAGAAAATGGTAAAGAAAAATAGAATGAAGAAAAAGATAAAAGATAAATTGAATAAAAGAAAAAGAGAAGAGAGAAAACGAAAAATATTAAACAAAGGATAATAAGAAAGAGGCGGAAAAATGATAGTAATATATATAAAGCATCCTTGTATTTTTTGTTTGTTTTTGCATTCTTTGTTTGTTGTTATTGTTGCGAAAGATGCATTCAATTGATAAATGAAGCCTTTGAAGCATAAAAATGTTTTTGTTTAATGTTTGAGGGAATTTGAAAAGGGAGAAAGAGGAGAAGGAAGAATTGATGATAAGGAAAAGGTAGAATGGAAAGAAATGAGGAGGAATGGGAAGAATGAAGAAAAGAGAGATGGAATAAGGAAGAGGAATACAAGAAGAGAAAGATAGAGAGAATATTCAAATGGAAAGAAGAAAAATGTAATTAAAGATGTAAGATTGGAGATAAAATACTTGCTAATATGAAACAAGAATACGAAAGGAAAGGACAAAGTAATAAACCAAACAAAAAGAAAAAAAAACGTAAAAGAAAACCCCGACGTAGAAAACGGAAATAAAAGTAACAAGACAAAACAAAACAAGGAAGGAGGAGCTAACCAAGGCTACAAGAGGCTAACCAAACACAGAATTAGTACAAGGGGAAGAATAAACTATAAAAAAAAAATCCACGATAAAAAAGAAGACAAAAAAAAAAAAAAACGTCTTGGCTGTGTCCCTGTTGCTTACAAGTGCTTGGAGAGGGGGGCGATAGGGGGCGGGTGAGGGAGTGGGGGCGGGGGGTTCTTGTCTGCCTTGGAAAGCAAAGTACGTCGCCTTGAAGACGTGCCCGCTAATAGAGCCATTCCTAAGGCGGTCCTTCTGGGCGCGAGGAAGGATTATCTCTTCTGGATTTTTTATCCTGGGAAATTAAGGTCGAAATTCCTTCGCAAACACAAGCAGATGTAGACAAAAGACGAGCCTGATATAAAAATATGTGTATTGCATATGTGTGTGTGTGAGCAATGTCATATGTATAGGTAAATGCATACCTTTATATGTATATATAATATATATAATGTATTTATGATATGTAGATATAATGTTATATATATCAAATACATATGTAATGTATAATATAATATATACATATAGTATACGTAAATATATATATGAATATGTTCTATATATACAACGTATATATATTACACACACACAATATAAATTATTCAAAAGGGACCTATGCAAGTGAGGTCAAGGATCAGTCTTCCTGGATTTTTCCCCAGTAGTGCAAATCACATTTCAGTCACGTATATACAAAGAAGTAAAAGATACTTGATTACACTAGTCAAGGAGATTTTATACAATGAAGAAACCATTAACAATCTTTCTTTTTTTTTTTTTTTTTACTCGTCTTCCTCCTCGGTGCAAATCTGATCCCATTATCATATAAAAATATAAAAAGTAATTCGTGTTTAACAATCAGGTTTTTTATAGAGGGAGAAATTAGCATATTTACATTATTGTTCTGTTTTGCTTCATTGGCTGCCTTTTTACTGACTATCCCTAGCCTTTATATTGCCTATCCTTCTTTGAATTCATATTTAACGACCAGTTTTTTATAGATATATTAGCACATTTATATCATTTTTTGTTTTGCTTGATTGACTGCCTTTGTACTGACTATCCCTACCCTTTATACTGATTATCCCTCGCCTTTATATTGTCTATCCTTCTTTGAATTCGTATTTAACGACCAGTTATTTTGTTGTTGTTTTAGAGAGAAAAAAAAATAGCACATTTACATTATTTTTTTTTTTGTTTAATTGCTGCCTTTATACTGATTATCCCTAGCCTTTATACTGATCATCCCTTACCTTTATACTAACTATTCCTAGACTTTATACTGACTATCCCTACACTTTATACTGACTATCCCTACCCTGTATACTGACTATCCCTCACCTTTATATTGCCTATTCCTCTTTGCCCTTCAGCCTGGCCTCAGTACCCCGGCGATACCCTCTCGGTCCCCGTCTCGCTGAAACACTGGCTAGCTTCGTTGATAATTCTTTCGTTAAACACTAAAGACGTCACATCGAGCTGATAACGTCTCTCGTCTCTTGCTTCCCGTGATTTACGTGGCAGCTGTGAAGATCTTGATGGGTGTGTGTGGTGTGTGTGTGTGTGTGTGTGTGTGTGTGTGTGTGTGTGTGTGTGTGTGTGTGTGTGTGTGTGTGGTGTGTGTGTGTGAGGCTAGTTGGTCCTAACACTTCGAATTTCGTCCATAGGTTCGACTTCGGGCCGGTCGGTCGGTCGTCGGTCTCTCTCTCTCTCTCTCTCTCTCTCTCTCTCTCTCTCTCTCTCTCTCTCTCTCTCTCTCTCTCTCTCTCTCTCTCTCTCTCTCTCTCTCTCTCTCTCTCTCAAATGTTCAAATTCCAGCCAAAACTTCATATCTGAATTCCTCCCAAAACTTCAGATTTAATATTTGCCTACACATCCAAACTCGGGTTTTGCCCAGAACTTCCAACTCCAACTTAAATTGTTCAAAAAGTTCGCGTTTCTCGCCTCGTCCCGTTTGCCTACACGAGCCCCTTGCTCTCGTCTAGACAGGCTATAAAAGGCGGAGAGACAGACGAGCACGAGAGCCAAGTCTGTTGCTCATTTGCTCTCGTTTCTTGCCATTATTTTTCCTTTTTTTTCAGGCGACCAAAAGTTGGCACTGCACTTAC